TTTTCAGTTTCTCTTGATGACTGTTCTCCAATTTTTTTAAATTTTTGTCTGTTTTTGCCCCCCAGTAAAATCTGTTATGTTCCATTCTTTATTAGATATTGAAAAAAGATCTTGAAATCTTAAGACCAGTCACAAGATTTGAGCCAAACTGAGGCATGACACCAATGAAATCGATGAAAGTGCTACAGCATATTTAGTTTTGTAGATCTGAAATGAATAGTAACATCCTCTAGTTAAGGGAGTATTGACCCACAGTGCTCCTGAAAGGTTCCTCCAGCTGTATGGAAGGGTCAAATGTAGGGAAGCATCTTACCTTAAATCTGCCAATAAGAAAAAACTCAAATCAACTAAACATAGTCTGTGGTAAAGTACATTTCTTTCTTCCATTCTTTAAAGGAACAGTCTGGAATTTTGGACATAGGACCTAATTTCCTAGTTAGCCAGTGTATTGGAGACGTGTGGAGACACTTTTTTAAATATTCCATCCAGTCCATGTACTTGCAGAGGTCACTGTTGCTAGGCTAGTGCATGTCAATGGCCATAGTTATAGTCTTACCCACTCCACAAAACACCCGAAGCAAATCTGTTATTACGACCAGACTGTTGATGTAAATGTCTGTGTCGATAGAATAATTTTAGGAGTAAAACCAACCTTGCATTTGAAGGATTTATGTCTGAGCAGCAGCGAGTTGTACTTCCTGACAGAAAGCTTGGCACTGGTGGACTGATATCACCTAGCACCTATCTTACCAGCAAAGTAAAATTCCGCTGCTGCCATGAAAATAGTCCCGCAACATGCGACGATTCATGCGATGCAAGGTTGGTTTTATTTCAGACATTATTCTATCAATAGAGACATTCACATCGACAGTTTGGCGTAATAATAGATTTGCTTTAGGTGCCTTGTGGAGTGGGTAAGACTGTTTTTAGGGCAGGATAACTATGGCCATTGACATGTACTAGCCTAGCACCAGCGACCTCTGCAAATACAAGAAAATAATGGAATATTTTAAAAAGTGTCTCCACACATCTCCACCACTCTGGCTCACTAAGAAAAGAGGTCCTATGTCCAAAATTCTGAACTGTCCCTTTCAACAGCGAGCACCCGGTAAGGAGCAGTGCACCTAGAGACCCATGTCCAGATCTTGAGCTTGGTTTGGTCAGGACTAACTCAGCTGGAGGCTTTTAACTTGTATTGTACATGTCTTGGATTCTAAATTGGGTTTAAACTAGCTCTAAGTCAGAAACAAATCTAAACTAAATGAGATCTAAACTAGTTTGAAACCAGGAATACCTTAGCTGGAGGATTAGCCTACAATTGTTCATGTTTTGTGATAGAAGGAACAACATTGTTGCTGTGGAATGACTGACCTCAGTTTGATAAGCAGTACAAGCATGGGAGTTTGTCACAGTAAAACTGTTCTCTGTGCTGGTCCCTTCCCTCTGCACTCCCCCTCTGTCTATCTCTCTCTCATTCCATTGCTCAACTCTCCCTCCTCCTATCTCTCCTCACCCTCTTCCTCTCTATCTCTTTTGGCCCTCCCCTCTCTGCCTCCTTCCCTTTATTTGCCACTCCTCCTTTCTTTCCCTCTCTCCTCTAGACTCTCTCTCCCCTTTCCCTCTCTTCCTCTGTTTTTCTCTCCTTCTCTTTACCCTTCCCTCCCACCTCACATTCTCTTCAACTCTCTCTCTGCCTTCCCTCTTTATTTCTCAGTCTCTTCTTACTAGGGCTGGATATCATTAAGAAATTGACGATACGATACATATCTCGATACATAGGCCACGATACGATACATATCTCGATACATAGGCCACGATACGATACATATCTCGATACATAGGCCACGATACGATACATATCTCGATATATTCCACTTTCAATTCAGTACGATATATTTCAAATCAATTCGATACAGTTTAATAAAAAAATAATGGCTAAATTGTGGCTGTGATACTAAAAGCCTTTGTTAAACGACTTCTTGTGCAAAGTTAAAAGGAAACATTAATTGTAGTCATCAAAACTGTGAAAATGTCAAATGTGTTGCATGAACAAATTTACTTCCTCTAAACAAGCAACAAAACTGTAGCACTGTAACAAGATAATGTAGTAAAATATACACAAAAAAAATACTCTTGGCGATATATCGATACAGCAGCCCACAATATCAATACTGTATCATCACATTAAACGATACGATATATCGATATTTCAATATTTTTGCACACCCCTACTTCTTACTCTCTTCCTACACCCCCCTCTCTCCTGTCCTCTTGCTTTTCTTACCTTCTGCTTTCTCTCCTTCTCTCCATCTCTCACTCTCCCACTTACACCCACTACTGTTTTCCCTCTCTCTTCCTCTTTCTGTCTTCCCTTGTCTCTCTCCTTCTTTACTTCTCACCTCTTTCACTCCCTCTCCCTTCCTCTCTCTCTCTTCGTCCCACCCCCTTCCTCCCTCTCTTTCTTCCTCCGTCTCTCTCTGTCTCTCTGTGTCTCTCTCTCTGTGTCTCTGATTCTCTGTCTCTCTCTCTCTCACTCTCTCTCTCTGTCTCGCTATCTGTCTCTCTCCCTCTCTCCTTCTTTCTCTCCTCCCCTCCCTCTCTTCCTCCAGTCTCATATTGACAGATTAAAGTCCACACTGTTCTCTCTGGATCAATGACCTGACTGATCCACAAACACTTGAGCATCTCCACAGTGTCTGTCTCCACTCGTCTGCCACTTTTAGATAATACCACATCTTATACTCTTCTTCTTCTTGCTGGTTAGGCTCGTCATATCTATCAAAAATGAAAATACTAATCTATAATAAAATAAAAACTAAAAACTAGATCCTCATTTGAGCAGGTATCGATAATAAAAAGTCCCATTAGTATCGTGATTCTACTACTGGTAGGGTCACATGTGAGTGGTTGATTACAGTAGTTTGAGTTCCCTGGTCCCTCTTCTCCATTGTCACAGTTAAACACACGCTTTAGCTCTGCTCTGCTCCGAACTGCAGCTCAGCCTCCTCACGACAGGCCGTCATTAAAAATACAGTCTCAGCTTTAAATAACCGGCCTGCCCCAGAGGAGCATGGGAGATTGGGGACAGGAAAGGCAGTAGAAAGACAGGTGGATAATGGATATATATATCTACAAATGTAAAAATCTATCTTTTTTGGGAAAACATTTTAGATAGGCTTAATACTAAACAAGTGTAGAATAAAGACAGATCTTAAAGGTGTACTATGTAACTTTTCTGGTAGAGGGTCACCTACTTCTCTCCATGGAGAACGCATGTATCTTGCATTTATTTTCATTATGGGTGTTGTATAGCACAGAAATACATTTAAAAACAGGCATGCATTCTTACTGTGAGCTGGGTCACCTCCTCACAGATCTGACCTGTAACTTGGCCAGTTAAGATTCATCTGCTTGTCTCCATGGTGATACATAAATGTAATGTCAATAATATACCTTGTCTATTCCAGGTCTAAAACAAGACTCAAGACCCAAATAAAACTATAAATGCCCATACCAGGTTGTGTAACACCATGCTCCTACTCTACAATCACACAAGTTGGGTGAAGTGCCTTGCTCAAGGACATAATGGCATACTTGTTTAGAGCTGAGTTATTACCACCCAACTCAGTTATTCTGAAGCAACTATATTCTTTTCTGGAAAATTTCAGCACTGGAATTGCCAATCTCTACTAAACTAAAAGTAAAATGTAGCTCTTAACTTGAAAACTATCGCTTCATGACATCACAAAGTGCAACAAAGCCTTTTGAGCTTTGGAGATGTAGAAAGACTAATATAAGGATTGCTCAAACATGTGTGAATGAAACAAAACATAACTCTGCGTGTGTTTCTGACGAAGTAACAGTGTTTTAACAAGCTCACAAGAGTCAGTTTTGTGTAATATAATTTTGTAGTTAAATTTTGTAGTTAAAAACAAAGCAAACATTCATTTAGTACAACATTTCACTTATATTTCTTGCAGACATCTTGTTTGTGCAGATACTGTGTGATTTGATCAGCTGCAGGCTGATAAAGACGCAGCTGTTGCAGATCTCTGGTTCTTATTTTAGCCTCTGCAGGTTGTATGTCAGAGTAGTGTCTGAAACCAGGGAGCATCTAGATTTTTAGGAGTGCAGATGCTCATTATTTATTAATGTGAGTGGTTAGCTTCAGTGCTAGGCTAATCTCAATCTGACTGCCTGATTCGTATCTCATGAGCTACTTCCTCTGTCTGGTTTTTGGCTGCTTTAGTTTTTGGAGATTTCAAATCTATAAATTAGAGGTGGCAGACTGAAAAATGTATACTATTGCAATTGCTGTTTTGGAGAGATGCAAAATTAGAATATTGAGTAAATGTATTATTTAGGCTACTATTTGATTTAAAGCAGACCTATTATGCAAAATCAACTTTTCAGAGTTTATAACCATTTATAGTTGTTTCCTCTTACCAAAACCCCAAGTGTACAGCCTCTGCTCTGAACTACCTTCATTTTCCAGTTTTATTTTCTTAATTGGTTATATGTAAGATTTGGTAGCAGTGTGTATTGTTTTAGTACAAATTAAGAAAACAAAAAAAAAACTCTGCTACTCGCTAGTGTGATGTGCAGCTATCCATCGAATCGCAGACTCTTTGGCACCTCCGTTGAAAGCCAGTGGACTTGTTTCTTATATATCAAGTCATTTTAGATCAATATCATGATTTAAAATATGCTCTTCTTTAATTCTTTATACTTTATTGAGATGCTTGAACCTCAACAAAGACATCTGCTGCTGTGTTTTAGCACAGTTTTGATGGATTGCCATATTATTGTCAAAAACGGATAGAGACATAAAAGTTTAATGCAATTCTGCAGAACATTCCAGGCAAAACAATAACATCTCCTTGGAGACATTGGACTTTCCACCAGACAGTTACATAGTTCATCTTTAATAAATAAGTTACTATTGTATGAACCTTGTCAGAGTCTTTGTTACCAACAGTCATTTCCTTTACCTTGCTCAGGTGGTGATGTATGTGGGGCAAGTGCTGAAGGACCTGCTGAAGTTGCCCCGCCCCCTCTCACCCCCTGTGGTCAAACTGGAGAAACGAGTCGTAGCTGAATATGGACTTCCTTCCACCCACGCCATGGCCGCCACTGCGATCTCATTCACATTCCTATACAGCGCCCCCTCCAGGATACAGGTAACAATTGTTCATTCACAAACATATAAAGTCTAATTTACCAACCAAAATAAGACTCACCTCATAGCTGGGAGGTCACTGGTTCAAATCCCAAAATGCTGGCCCTTTTGGTGTAGTTTGCATATTCTAGATTTGTCTGGGTGGGTATCCAAAATGCTCTGCTTTCAATCAAAAAATAATCCTTCATCAATTTAAAATGAGACCTGGCGAATGGTCCCAGGCTTTGCTTTCTCATCATATATCTCTTAATTTAGACACAATTGAGTTTTTGTCCGTAATAATATTAAAGAGAGGGTCTATGAATTTGCATTTAAAATTCCATTAACATGTCTGTGTTCTGAACTTTCACATGAGGCCTTAGAAAAACTCATATGTGTCCTCTATCTGTGCATTTTTTAGAGATCATTTGGTTACTCACAGGTTGTCATTTGGGGTGTTTTCATCATTTGAGTATGTTTCCTTCAAAATGGAGCTAAAACAATCACCGTTCATACTCTGCATAGTCGTATACAAACCTCCTCAGCACTGTCAAAGTTTTATTGATGATTTTACTGAGATGCTTTCAGTTGTTTGCACAGACTTTGATGGTTTAGTCATTACAGGTGATTTTAATGTACATGTGGATAATGTGTGTGACAAAAATGCCAAAGAGCTTAGTGTTGTCCTTGAAACTTTTGGTCTGACTCAGCATGTCAGTGAGCCCACTCACAACAGAGGACACACTCTGGACCTGCTCATTACAAAGGGTGTAAATATTTCAAATGTCAATGTGGTTGATGTTGCTCTGTCTGATCATTTCTGTGTCTTCTTGGCCCTGTCTGTTATTCCCAAACCACCGGCTGCTCCTACAGCAATAAAGTGTCCTACCACAATTATGCAGACGACACTCAGATCTACGTCTCTCTCTGGCAGCAGGAGACTATGGACCAGTGGACTCACTTGGTCATTGCATCCAACAGATCAGTGTGTGGATGCAAAACAACTTTCTCCAGCTAAACTCTGACAAGACTGAAGTCATAGTGTTTGGTCCACAAAAACAGTGTCTCTCTAAAACCTTCAAATCAGGCAAGAAATCTAGGGGTAATAATGGACTCAGACTTGAACTTTAACAGCCACATCAAATCAATAACATCTGCAGCCTTTTACCATCTAAAAAACATAGCAAAAATCAAAGGTTTACTGTCTAAAGCAGACTTGGAGAAACTTATCCATGCGTTTGTCTCCAGTAGGTTAGACTACTGTAATGGTCTGCTCACTGGTCTCTCCAAACGAGCTGTGAGACGCTGCAGAACATCCAGAACGCTGCAGCTCGGGTCCTTACTCGAACTAGGAAGTACGAGCACATAAGTCCTGTGCTCAGGTCTCTGCACTGGCTTCCTGTCTATCCTGTGAGAATAGACTTTAAAGCAGTGTACAAGTGTCTCCATGGCCGAGCACCAAAGTACATCTGTGACATGTTAGTGTCATATGAACCATCTCACACTCTGAGGACCTCAGGGACCGGCCTCCTGCTGGTGCCCAGAGTCAGGACTAAACAAGGGGAGTCAGCGTTTCAGGTTCATGCAGCTAAAACCTGGAACAGTCTTCCTGAACATGTGAGACAGACTCTTCTGTGACACTGTTTAAATCCAGGCTCAAAACATTTGTTTAACTGTGCATATAACTGAAAGGTTTTCATTCCGCACTCTTCTCTCCAATTTATGTCTCTCTTTTTTTATTTTAATCTTCATGATTATTTATGTTTTGATTTGTTTTTATTATGATTTTAATGTATTTCTTATTCTGTAAAGCACTTTGAATTACTTTGTGTACGAATTGTGCTGTACAAATAAACTTGCCTTGCCTTGCCTTGCCTATCAGCAGGTTAAGGCTGTAACGTCACATGTTCACTTGTGATTGTATATCTTGCAGATTGTGGTAATGTGATGATTAGTAGACCACATTTCCTTTAGCATGGAGCAGTATGCTGTATAAGTGTGTTACAGGCTCAAAAGCGTTGCTCGTATCATGACTGCAGCGGATATGCTCACTCTGTGGGAAGACTGGCTTAAGTGGAGGCTTAAGTGATACTTATATAGACAAATGCAATTAGCAGGCCTGAGAAACAAAAAAATTAAAAAAATAAAATAAAATAAGAGTGTACCTTGCTCTCACATTCTGGTGATACACTTATTTAGGATATTTTAGGCTTGTCCATACACTATTCAGTTACATTTTACAATTAAAATTTTACATATTATTATTATTATTTTTTATTATGTAGACAGTAAGTCACCTCTATAATTCAGTAAAAACAAATTAAACAACTATATAACAGTAAAAAGGTATTAATGAAAGTATTGTCTTTGTGTCTGCTATATAATCTGTCTATGACACCTGTGGATAATTGTATAAATGTATCTTTATAATTTAGACATTTTAGATCGCAATATTCATCTAAGACAGCTTCATGAAAAAAACAAGTGACTCCCGCTAAGTTCTGTGTTAGAAAACTGATGAAAGCATAATCAGAACAAAGCATAGCGCAGTTGTCTGCTCCTCCTATGGATAGAAGCAGATCCCGCTAGTGAGAAGTAGATTTTGTTTTTTCATTTGTACCAAATGACTATGACTATGCTGCCAAATCCTACATGTATTACTGATTAATAAAATTAAATTGGAGAACAAAGTACATCACAGTGGGTGTGTACTGTTGGCAGTGAAAACAGGGGTTGATCAGAGCAATGACATCTTGAATACAATAGTATAAAGATTACTTAAACATGCATATATCCCTCTAAATACAACTCTGAAGGGTAAATGAGAAGGGAAACAAATATGACGTAGTTAAAAAACTTTATTTTGCATAATAGGTCCACTTTAGCAAACTAGAAACTCATCTCTAAAGTAACAGTAGCCTGAGTGGGCAGAAGTGGGCGTGTCAGAGTTGTCAATCACAGATTCCTTAGTGATCCACTGGACAAAAGGTGGCGGTGGGCGGGACCAGCAGTCATCATCCATCACTGTGGGGGCCACTGTTTGGGCTCCTGATGGACTAAGAGGAGTCAATATCTGTCACAACACCCACTCTTGTTTCTTTCTCTCTCCCCCTCTCTCATCAGATTTTTGACTCACCTCTATATCGTTCCTTTCCCTCCTTCTCCCTGCTTCTCCCCCTTCTTCTCTTTCTCTCTCCTCCATCCTCCCTCTCAACACCTCACCCTCTCTTCCCTCCTCACGTCAGTACTCTCCCTCCCCCTCTCTCTCTCTCTCTCCTCCACCCCCCATCACCTCTTTCTCCCCTCTCTCCCTCTCTTTCTTTTTCTTCTCTTCCCCTTCTTCCTTTCTCACTTCTCCCCATCATCAGCCTCTCTCTCTCCCTCTCCTCCCTCTTATCACTTCACTTGTTCTCCAGTTCATAAAACTCTCTTGATTCCCCCCTCTCCCCTCTTCTCATCACCTCCCTCCTCATTCTCTCCATTTCTTTCTCTCCTTCCCCTCATCACTTCACTCGATCAGCCACCCTCCAGTCCATAAAACTCTTGCTCTCTCTCGCCCTGCCTTTAATCTCTATTATGCAGACTCCAGTGAATGAGGCTCAGTACTTCAGAGTCACACATGTTGCCGTGGTGATTTGTGGTGAGGACGTTTTAACTGTGTCGCTGTCACATCTTCTTATAGTTATGAGTTTCACAGGGGCAGTAAATCAGATCAACTGCTCTACTCGCGGCCTAGCCTGCTTCTCCTAAATCAAATGGCTTCCAACGTAAAATCATTAAAGGACTGAAATAAGACTAAAAGCGTATGTCAGGATTAAACAAGGATTTTAGAAAGAATGGAAATGTGTGTAAAGCAAATTTGAGTTGGATCACAAAATCGCTTACATTTCATATTAAGCAAAATTGACACTTGTGAGCTCTAAGCCATGTTGCAATGTTGTTACCTCCTCAAAAACATACACAGAGTTGTGTTTTGATTCATTTATGCATGTTTGAGTTCCACCTTGTGAAGTCATGAAGCAATAGTTTTCAAGTTAATAACTACCTTTAAGAGTTTTTGTTTAGCAGAAATTGGGACTTCCATAGCTGAAATTATCCAAATGGTTCTAGTGAAGGTGTAAGGAGTTTTAAAACCCTTGTATTATCACATGACATCACAAAGTGGAACAGAGTGTTTTCTGTTTGAGAGAAGAACACAGTGTAAATGTGCAGCTTTTGTGTGTTAAATGCATGAATGAAACAAAACACAACTCCAGGTATATTTTCGATAAGAAAACAACATTATAAAAGAGATCACAGGTTAATTAGGCAATACAGCAAATGACATGGTCCATCTTTCACCTCCTCCATTCACCGTGCTTTATCAGTGACAGTATCTCCACTCCTCCCCTCTCTCTCCCTCTCTCCTCTCTCCATCACCTCCGTGGGTTGGTTCCTGTTTTCTTTCAATAGTAGATAAACCTGTCGTATTCCTCCTCTCCTCCTCTCTTCTGTCTTTTCCTGTCTGTAGCAGCTGGAGGCCCATTCACGCAGAGTTCATGAAGCCGAGCGTTTTGTGAAGGGGTACAAAGGATGCGGCGGGAGGCCAGGATGGGGCGACTGCAGCTGATTGACTGTCATGACCTCTGACCACTGCGGGAACTTCACTACATGCCCCTAGGCTCCGCTCCGGCCAATTCAAAGTCCACTACAAAGTGTGACAGCAGCTACATGCTTTTATCTGGAGGAATCTCAGCTATTCAGAATTCTTCATAGCAGTACTGCACTTGTGAATCTAAAATAAGGCAAAAGACAGAATATGTTGTAATATAATGTTGTTTCCTTATCAAACCCTGCATATTTAGGCTGAGGTATTCTCTTAAACAGAAGACACTCCACTGTGTGATGTCATGTGGTAACACAGGAAGTGTTCCTTTGTGATTTTAAACTCCATACACCTTCACTTAGCCCGGCTGGCACCACCTTGTGCCTCCACTCAATTTAATTTCTCTCCAGCAACTTAGTCAGGAATCAAAATACACTAGACGGTTCGCAAAAACCCTGGAAGTGCAAGTCCAGGCACCAGCCAATCAGCGAAGAGCCATATATTCAGTGCAACGATTCCCGAGATCGAGGCTTTAAAGCCGGAACAAAGAGAATGTTTGGTGAATTTCATCAAGGGGAAAGACATTACTGCCCTTCTTCCTACGGGATTTGGGAAAAGCTTAATATACCAATTAGCCCCATTAGCAGCGAATTACATACGTCAAACTAAATAGCAGCAATTGGTTAAATGATAAAAAGTACCCGCCTACCGTCGAGTGAACGAATTCTAACACTACAAGGTCAGACGGTTTCTACAAAGTGAATCCGGCTGATGAATCAGACTAACCTCCACTAGCATCATTTGGATAATTTCAGATCTGGAATTACCAATCTTTTTTAAACAAATGTAAAAGATAGCTGTTAACTTGCACTCCCACACACACTCTGCGGTCCGAGGGCCAGCTCTAGCTCTTGGTCCCTAAGATGAGACTTAAAACCTGGAGGGACTGGGCCTTCTCTGTGGTTGGCACTAAGCTCTGGAAGGCTTTGCCCCCCCATGTCTGAACAGCCTCCACAGTGGAGTGTTTTAAATCTCATCTTAAGACCCACTTTTACTCTCTGGCTTTCAACACCGCATGAGTTGTGTGGTCCTCTGTGTCTTTTATTTATTTAATTTTTTTTATATATTTTATTGATTTTATTAATTTATTCATTGCTATTCTATGATTTTGCTCTTATTTTATTTTACTGGTTTTATTATTTTGTGAAATGTGCTATAGAAATAAAGTCGATTGGATTTGATTGGATTAACTTGAAAACTGCCGCTTCATGACATCACACAGTGGAACAGAGCATTTTGAGCTTATGAGATGTAGACAGACTAATAATAAAGGGTTATTCAAACGTGTGAATGAAACAAAACAACTTCAGGTATGTTTTGATGAGGTAACAACATTCTAACATGGCTTAAAGCTCAGGACAAGAGTCAATTTGCGTAATACAGGACCTTTAACAGAAGAATAGTCTATTGTGAACTTGACTTGGAGTAACCTGGTATGTATCAGTCCACAACTGAGGCTAAACTGGGACAGAAGCCATGTGTCTGTTTATGGGCCAAATAATGACTAATGATTACCCAAACCGTCTGCATTTTTTATTAGTTTATTAGTCATGATTCTGATAAACAGCATTAGGCCAGAACAATGTATGTACAGTATTTCCATATCACAGATCTGTTTTGTTCTGTGTTTAGTTCCCGTTCGAGGTGGGCTTGATCATCGCGGTGACGCTCTCTTCTCTCGTCTGTCTCAGCCGCATCTACACCGGCATGCACTCTGTACTGGTGAGTTAGTGTATTAGGCTCCTCTTTCTCTCTCTTTTTACATTATCATTATGTCTCTCTCTCTTTTCCTCTCTCCCTACCTTGTCTACCTCCCTCTATTCCCATCGATTCTCATATTTACTCATACTCTCTTTCTTATCTATCTCCCACCATTCCCTCTCTCTCTTTCTCCCCCTCTCCCTATACCTTTTCTCCCTCCCTCTATCCTCTCTACCTCACCCCCCCTTTCCATTCTCACTGTATAAAACATTGAAACTTTAGCTGTATCTATAATTCATATCAGTGTCTGGATGAAGCGTCTGGCTGTGAATCCTGCCGGCTTATTTTAGATGACCATTTTCACACTCACATGTTTATACCACACTGCCAACAAAGGCCTTATAACAGTTCAAATATACTGAATTTTTAGCAAATGTGATTTATTGGGCATAGATTACTCTGTATTTTTGGACATTTCAGAAATAACTCAGAAATAGAATAGCCTATATATCTGAAAAAGTCAAATAACATTGGTTTAGTGAATAATTTAATCTCAACTATACGGGCCACTTCATCAAAGTTAATATCAATATGAAAGAGAATGTAACTGTTATTGTTCCACCTTAAAGAGACACTGTGTCATTTTCATGGTGGCAGGTCTCCATAAAAACATTATTGCTTTGCCTGGAATGTTCCACAGTATGGCATTAGAATGATCTGTCTTGCATTTATTTCCATATGGGTGTTTTTAGTGCTCAAACTTACTGTGAGCAGGCTTGCATCTCCACTGATCTGACCTGTAACTTGTCCTGGTGGCATCTCTTGCTTGTGTCAGTGGCGATAGACAAGTTTAACACAACACTGTGGAGTAAAAAGATTTAACATATTTCTTTGAGACTGTTTTTATTATAAACAATAAACACAATGGCAAAAGGAGAAATTCAATTTCTCAACTGGACAATATTAAAATTTTTAATATCTGCAAAACAAAACTAACTTCCCTAGTTATATCCTTAATAAAGACTTCATGAAGAAAGACTTAATTCATAATTGAACAAATTAAGATTTATTGAGTTTAATTAAGAAAAATTGTATTTATTTATTTATAAGGGAAGCCCCTTGAGATGTAGCATCTCTTTTGCGAGGGGGTCCTAATGCATTAACAAAAGCAGCATTTACAAAAGAGAAAGAAAACAAATCAAAACAGAACAAAAGACAGACAAAGACAACATTCACACAACACACAGACAGCATTCACACTATACAGTCCAGGATCCTAAGGTATACATACATCTCTCTGAGTTTATCATCACCACACCTATATTTGTAAAATGGTGGATTGATGTAATTGATCGAATTGAGGAGGGTAACTTGTTCCATTCATTTGGAGCTTTGAAGTTAAAGTTAAAGTTAAATATTCTGCGGCCAATTTCTTTTTTTTATTATAGGAACATTAAAAAATAATTGTTCAGTGTGACGTAAATGATATGCTGAACTTTGAGTAATAACATTTAAACACAAGTTGCAGAAAGTGTAAGTGTCTTCTGGAGGTAAGAGAGCCAGTTGAGTGATGAATACATTTGACAGTGGTGTGTTCTATAGGGACATCTTAATACAAACCTACATATACTGTTATAAATGACATCTAATTAATTTAACTACGAGCCTAAGGTGTTACAGTTAGGGTATTTATAGTTACTAAGCTGCTTGAATCATTCTTAATAAACTCAAGTCTTTCTTCATGCTTTACTAATGCTAATTAAAGTGTAATTATTCTAAATTGTTACCATCAATTGCATATATAGATGGACATAGCTACCCTGTGAGTTGTTGTATTCCAAATAGGAAGTAATAATGGGGCTCTGTCCTCTGAATCTATTGCACTATTTTGTCGGTAAATCATGCTATGAACATAAATAACAGACCAATGAGTTGCTTTCTTTTGCCCGGGTCACTCTCAGAAGCGTTAGCAACAGGTTTTAATGACAGCAAGCTAAGCCCCCACCCCCCTTTGGCAGCTATGACACATTCATTTGGCTGGAGATGAATGCTTTGTCACACTCCCTCTGTAATACTCATAGACTGTCACTGTATAAGGACAAACAACTAAAGTGTTCAATAATCAATAATGTATTTTTCTCTTTTTCAGGATGTCATCTGCGGACTCTTCATCTCCTCTTGTATTTTGTTCGTCACCTATCCGTTCTGGGACACTTTCGACCACTACCAGCTCACCAGCCCCTTCTCCCCTGTGTTTGGTATAAGCCTCCCCCTCCTCCTCAGCTACACCTACCCCAAACTGGACCACTATAGTACTACCCGCGGGGACACTACCACTATCTTGGGCGTCTGTGCGGGTTGCTCTGTTGGTTACTGGTTTAATGTACAACTTGGAGAGACATTTGAACCGAAAGAAGCATTACCAGTGCCTCTACCTGAAATTACCACAACCTCCTTCACCTATGGAACTGTACGATTTGTATTAGGTGTGCTAGCATTGGTAGGGACAAGGCAGTTGGTTAAAATGTTTAGTTTACATGTTCTATATTGGATCTACAAAGTGCCAAAATCAGACCTAAATGCGAGAAAAAGGAAAGAAATTGAGGTGCCATATAAGTTTGTGACATATACCTCAGTGGGATTGGTGAATTCTATACTGGTCAATAGAGCTTTTGTTTACATGGGACTACTATGACCATAATACCAGGCTCTTAAAGAGAATTGATACTTTGCAGTGACATTGCACTGGGGGTGTTCTACATGTACGAGTATGGCGGAATGTTCAGTGGTTACCATGATGCACAGTGCACATATTAGCAAACACTGCCAAAAGCGTTTTAAGATCATTTGAGAACTCATAAAGAAAAACTGAACTGTTGTGACTGAAATGCTACTTGAGAAGGACTTGTTCAACAGCACAAATCAGCTCAGGTGCTGTAGTTTCAACCAAGTCAGTTTGTGTAACAAACAAAGTTCAGATTAAGTCTAACTTGAGTAACAGCCTCTAACAGAGTAGTGCTTTTGGTTAGCATCACACCCACAGGGAATTCTGATGACAGCAGCTGCAAAGTACCAATAATGAAGTACCTTATGTTTTATTTATTTCAGTGTATTTTTATGTAATCTGTTTTTTCACTATACAGTATTCATTAAAGAGTTATCTGTTTTTGTTACTTACTTAGTTACATAACTATTGATCTATTAGACAAATATTAAAATATGAAAGTCAAAATTACAGGGTTGTGCAATGCAAACAATTGTAGTTGTGATTGTGTCCAGTCATTTCTAATGGTCAGCGATCAGTGTGGGGTTTTTAAATGGAGAGGTCTACAGCCGTCAGTAAAGGCGGAAGTTCAGACTTTAAAAGGAACATGTGACTATTTGTGCTATGATTAAAAGTCTGCATTGTTTTTGTTCAGGAAATGAATATTGAAAGAAAATTATTATTAAATTAACACATTTTATTGATCAATTGATTGATCAATTTCAGGGAATC